TCTAATATCTATTTATCTATTTATATTTATATATATACAAATACAAATACAATAATAATAACAGTGTATATAAATTATGACATCTAAATATATTAGTAGTCAAGTGTGGGCATATGTATATATATATAACCAGATGTTATTATATTTTATAATCAAGTAATTGACTAATATTTAGTATTATTATAACAATTACAATTGATAAGTTATTACATACAATGTTAAATATATATATACATGTATATAACCAAATGTTATTATATTTTATATTACTAAATAAAATCAAGTAATTGACTATTATTATAACAATTACAATTGATAAGTTATTACATACAATGTTAAATATCTAAAATCTCTAATATCTATTTATCTATTTATATTTATATATATACAAATACAAATACAATAATAATAACAGTGTATATAAATTATGACATCTAAATTTATTAGTAGTCAAGTGTGGGCATATATATATATATAACCAAATGTTATTATATTTTATATTACTAAATAAAATCAAGTAATTGACTAATATTTAGTATTATTATAACAATTACAATTGATAAGTTATTACATACAATGTTAAATATCTAAAATCTCTAATAACTTTTTATCTATTTATATTTATATTTATATATATATAAATACAAATACAATAATAATAATAGTGTATATAAATTATGACATCTAAATATATTAGTAGTCAAGTGTGGGCTATTTGTAACCATAATGTTTCAAACAAATTATATGTGGGCCAGAATTTAAAACCATATTATGTAACAATTAATTTAATTTGGACACAATCTAGTCCATTATTCATTATCTATTTGGCCCAACAGCATGAGGTAGGCCAATTTATTAACACTAAAAAGGCCCGTTTATTAAACTCAAAATGAGCGGACGGTGGAGATCATCTGATCGGAAATCGACGGTCAGCTATTCATCACAGGGAGTATAAAACCGAAAAAATCGGAAATGAGGGTTTGTGTCTCACCTCATTTCCACCGCTCCAACACACTTCTTCCATCTCCGATTTTCGGCTTTCATTTTATGCTATCTCTTTGTTTAGTTCAATTCTATAATTTGATGTAATTTGTGGGATCAATCGATATGATTACGATGTTGTAAATGATATTTTGTTTGTATTTTTTTTTTCACATATATCGATTCGATCCATATGTAAGGTAATCATGTAATTTTATGTTCGATTTTTCCGTTTTTCTCTTGATTTTGTATTTTTTTGTTTATTAATTGCGTATTATCACCGGATACACCAAGATACCGATGGGTTTGGGTAAGAACGCGTCGGCAGAGTATTTTTTCTCTTAAGATCCGCATGGTCGGTGTTTGTGTAAGATCCGAATCGCCGGAGGTTTACCAAATTGGTAAGATTATCACCGAATTGTTTCATTTTCTTTAGCTTTGTTCAAAAGTTTAATCACTTTGACATTTTTTTTTCTTACATTATTTTACACTCAAACATGCAGATTCCGATGGGTTTTGGTAAGATCCACATCGCGAGAGTTATCTTAAGCTTAATATCCGCATCACCTGAGTTGGGGTAATGTCCCCGTCGCCGGAGATTTTTTTTATTGGGTAAGATTGTAGCCGAAGATTCTCAGTTTGTTTAAGTTTCCTCAATTGTTAATTCAATTAATTTTTTTTTCGTAAATAATTTTACAATCAAATATGTTTAATTTTCCAAATGATTAATAAAATTCTCAGATCATCACTGATAGTTTGGTTGTCTTAAAGAAGATACACGCAAGGCTGGGAACACGAAAAAGGTATTAAAACATTAATTAGATTTATCATCTCTTTATATTAATTTGACCAAGTCCGACCTTTGTCTTCGATTCTTTAAGGATTTCAGCGAAAAATTCAATTAATTTGTAATTGTTTTCACATACCCAATGAGAACCGTTCTTGATCGAAACTATGGAAAATTAGAGTTGAAAACAAACTTGTTCAGACAATCCGAATATAATTAAAAATTTTTGGGTAAATTTGATTCTGTTTTACAATTTTGGAAAAGTTTAATACACGTATACCTTAAAAAATTTGATCTGTACAAATCCTTATATTTATAAAATTTAATACTTACACGTAATATTTTCTTTGTTCACACGAATGTTGCATACTGAGAATGCGGCGGAACACAAAAGTAAGTAAAAGGTAAGGGTGAAATAAGAAATCTGCTGGGCTACAACACAGGAAGAAAGGTATGTATTTTATTCTATTACACTTCATTACCTAATTTTACGTTTTCTTTGCCCATATCTCTGTTGCTCTGCTTAATGCTTTTTCCATTGTACTTGAAAGGTTTATCATTCTGCATCTTTATATGTTCTTGTTTTTGGTCTTCAAATTCAGTAATGATGTCTCTTGAAATACTCTATATAATCTGTCAAATATCAAGTAAAAAAATTAATTATGAATAACCAAAACTTAGTATACACCTTAAGGTTTTTTTATCCACAGCCCAAACAAATTATATTTAAACTACAAATATAGTTGAATGTAAATGTGAACAAATACCTGGTATATACGATTGTCTCAAGCTTTGTGTAGTATTCTTTGCCATATACAATGGAAAAATGTGTTGATCATCATCCAAAACTGCCACTCAATATCTCTATATGCTTACGCAATTCTATCTTGTGAGATTACTTGTTACAATCTCTGAATATGAATGTGAATGAGTATGGTGATTCAACAGCTGATTGCTATGTGATGTTTTTCATATAACATGTATCCTCGCACTAAATTGAACTATAAATTATGTTTCTGTGTATGTAAGGGGATTAGATAAGTATTAGGTTTAAAAGATATGCACAAATTTTCCACATCTTGTATAGAATATTAGGAGATACTTATCCTATTAGATATTATTTTAGACGATTTAAAAACGATATGAGAAGCACATTAAAAATTTTTTTGCCCCAATTAGAAGATTGTAATCGTAATATTAAAAAATATTTGATATCTTTCCATAATTTGTACAACATAAATTAATAGGTAAATTAAAAAAGGTATTTATAACAAAGATTAGTATGTTCACAATCTTTATGGATTGTGTAAGATTAATATATAAAAAAGAAAAATTATATCCGAGTGTGGTAATCGTATCTCCCGGATATATTGGACTTGTTATATTTTTTTTGTTTATATGAATCTGAATTTATACAATACACATCTATTTTTTAACTTTGTTTAAATAACATAAATATATAATTGTTTAAAGATATGATTATTATTTAATATTTATAATTAATAATTTTATCCAGAACCCGACAGTAATTGAGTTTGGGCTGAATATATTAAACAAAGTTTGGGTTTAAGTATCAGAGATAAAAAATGTATTATCACCATAATAATATATTTGGCGAATCATCACAACCTATATTTATTACCATATAATAAAGTGACAAATATATAAATATAGAACATAAAAAACAATAAACTTACTCATCTTAGAACTTTAAACGAAATAAACATAATTTGTTCATCAAATCCATTAAAAAGTTGTCAATCCAACGAATCAAGAAATTATTCAAAATATAAAGCGAAAAAAACGTAATTTGTTCATCAAAACCGTAAAAAAGCTGCCAATCAAACGAATCAAGAAATTATTCAAACTTATTTAATATGCCGAATAAGAAATAACAATCGAATAGTAAAATAAAACACCATATGTTATGGTGCCTTTGTCTTTCAATTTTCAGCGACATCCTCAAATTGTACTCCACTGGGGTCCAATTTCTCAATCTTCCCCTTCTCTGTATCGGCATTTGCTGACCCACCAGATTGATCTACATTGGGTGTTGAGGATAAATCATTCAGAAGCTTCCGCTTTGCTGTGGAAGTGTCACCCTTTTCGATAGGTTGAAAAACCTTTATTGGTGTAGAAACCTCATCATCCAAAGTTGCATCCTGCATGAGCATAATAAAAGAAGTAAATAAAATATAAAATATAAAGCCAAAACATGTATTTTGAGACCAATACAAACCAGCCCATTGTCGTGGTCTTCCCTTTGCAGTACGGTAAGAAAGTCAGATCCCTACATATATAAATAATAAATGATTAATCGCGTTTATTTCACTATATCTATAATTAATTATTATTTCAATATCTACATACAAATAATTTATATAAATCTATAATTAATTATTATTTCAATATCTACATACAAATAATTTATATACATTTATTTGATTACCTCGTTCTCCACAAACCATTGGTTGTACATGGAGTCAGCAACAACTCTTACGACTGGAAATGAAGCAGCATACCCTAATGGATTTTTTGGATATACACGAACCTTGAAAAGGATCGTCTTACCCACTAAATTCGACACGTCCTCAGGAAGTTCAAAGCTATTGGGATGCTGTTTAAGAACATGTTTTAAAATATCAATCTCGAATTAAGTTAATTAAACAAAATTGTTCAAGAAGGATATATAAGATTTTCGTACCTCGCAAAGAAATTCATTTCTCAAGACCTCACATGGTGTTCCAATAATCTTTTCAGATTCCCTATCCCAACAAATGAATGTTGCACTTGATGTTGCATCTGACACAATCAAACGAATTTTGTACCTTCATCGAAGATTTTATAATATAATTGCAATCCAGATATTTACTCTAATATCTGAAATTAAAATATATGAATATATAGAGTAAAATAAGGAATTGATAAGTATACACACCTAAAAACACCTTTATTATGGGCACATTTGGTGCAACTTAATTTCCCATCTTCATCAGCCATCTTGCCTTTGCAACGATTACATGCGAGGTACCACCATTCGTCCACAATTGAATCAATTGTAGCACATACCCAACATTTGACCTCCTATTATTACATTAAACAAATTAAACAAATAAATAGGTGTATAAGAATTAAGTTCGGTGAAAAAATCTATAGTAATTTACCGAACTTTAGGTAATATAGTTAATTAATAATACCTCGTCAGAGTCAAATAGAGAATCTACAGAACTAACTACCAAATCACCATTTTCTAGCTCTTTCATTTCTCTCTTCAAGACAATTTTGCTATTGGTGACATATTTACTCTTCTTAGCCCATGGGCTTGCTGAAAATCTATACACAAAATATATACAATATCTAGATAATAAAAAAATCTATTTAATTATATTATGTTGTATAATATGTATATACAAATATAAATAAAAATAAGATGATATATGCAAATATATTCTAATAAATGTAATTGTTACTTTCGCCGAAAATCAATCAAATCTGGAAATGGTGCAACAGCATGTAGACGGGTGACATTCATATGGGTAGCCAATTGAACCTCATCTGGTGTATATAAATATAAGTACAAATAAATAAATTCATTAATATATTTTAAAAATTAACTAAACATAAATAAATAATGTACATTTAATTTTGCCCAAATTAAAACATAACTCGCATATACCTTCCCAAAATCGTGCCCGACAAAGCTGCATAATTAGCACCCATGGTTCACCAGTTGCCTCGGACTCAAAGTGAGTTTCAAAAGCAATGAGTTGGTCAACATAATGACCCCAGAGTGTGGATTGAATAACAATTCCACTGAAAAAAGAAATTGTGGATTAATAATATATTATCAACAACAATTTCTTTCACAATTTGTGGCATTAGATACATATATATACTTACTTTAAATCCATGAGGGAAAAGACAATCATTTGGCTTTTTTGTCCATGAACCCATTTAGACTGAACAGGATGAATTTCAATCACCATACCAATGACATCTACATTGTAATTAATTGAATGTTAATTTAAGATATCTATGATCCAAGTTATCAATAAAATAATTAATGTAAAGACCAAATTGACAATAAATTAAAAAAATTACCAAAAAGATAAGATTCATCAACATTCTCAACATCTTGAAAGTCGGCAAAGCTACGGAATTGAAAATGCCACGAAGGAAAGTATGCGTGCATTTCTAGAACCTCTGTATCGGTATGAATAAGGAGTTTGTATTTTGCAGCAGTAGATCGATACTTATCGATGTTTCTGTCTAAATAGTAGTTCCGGATTTTATATACGCCACATTCGTGGAAATAGCCAGCCATCTTAGATAAATGAACGCCATGGATAATACCACTAATGCGAGTGCCCTAAGAAACAATACACATTCGTATAAAGGCCACACTAAGAAACATAGTAATTGAACAATTTAATAATTAACACTAAAATAACCTCTTCATCATGAAATACGATCTCCAATTGTCTTCGGTAATTGGAATCAAATGATTTTTCGAAGATACGAATTGCTCGGACTTTTAGCATGAATCTCTTACTCCTCTGAATCTGTCGAATTAAGCCAAATGGTTGATCCATGTTTTCGATTTTTTTGGATTGTATATTCTCGCTAAATTGTTTTATTATGGACGATTGATAACTACATGGGCTGAGATTATGGTTGAGGTATTTATAGATATCCCATAAATCAATGAATATATTAAAGATTTGATATATTAATGTACCATTTTTCCGAAGATTTAATATATTTTATATTATATATAAGATAAAATCTATTGAATATATTCTATAATATATATTTATATTTTTTGATTGAGGCAAAGATTTGCTATTATCCTTGTTCAAGTTTGGTGTAGAATCATTCTCGCAGATTTGAAATTATCATTGGATATATATATCATTGGTTATATAGAATATTATATATAACAACTTAGATTCGTTTCTATCTGCGAGAATATTTGGGTTGAGTAAAAATCGTGTAGGATATTTTTTTACTTTAATTACTCTACGTTAGATATTTAGTTTGATTGGATTACAATTAAATCGCTGGAAATAATATCCGTAAGAGATATTATTGTTAATAATTTAATAGCTATCATCTTACCACATTAAAATTATAACTGATCGATAATATAAAATATGCGTTATTCCATTTTTATTTAAATTGAGGAGTCTATTTATCGACAGTAGATATTTTTCAAATGGTTACCGAATATATATCTATAACAACAATTAGTATTTTGTATAGTGTGGATTCTCTCACATTGGTTTGTAGATATATAACAACAAAAGGTTTTTTTAAGAATGTGGATTCTATTAAGCTTCAAGATATTGATGATTGTGGTTTCACCATGCAATTCGATTTCATCTATAAATCAGTCTTAGATAATTTTTAATACTTATCGGATTATTTATCCGTTTTTAATGATAAATATCGATAACAACCATATAAGAGAGTGCTTATCAGTATAATTGTTTAAACCCTTATCCGAAGAGTTTATAGATTAATTGATATGTATCTACTAAGTGAACATCAGTACTGCTGAAAATCAACATAAAGAATGATAAAACTAACTCAATTTATTATATTATGAAGAAAAAGCCTCGACAACTATATGTTACCTAGAGGCTGGAAATGAAATACTAAATGTCTGAAAAACACAAAAATTACGCAACTCTAATCCAACGAAATGTAAAATGTTTATCAAACCCCAATGAATAAAAAACGATTTAACTTTTAAAACTAACTAATAGAAAAACTCTCTTCAACTGCAACTTCATCAAATCAGTCTTCTTTTTCTTCGATCAAATTCCCATCATCATCAACCTTTGCTTTCCCTTTATTGCTTGTAACGGACTCAGCAGCAAATTGATCAGATAGGTTCCATTTTGCAATTCCATCACCATCTTCCTTGGATTAAACAACCTTCACAGGAGTCGATACCTCATCTTCCAATGTGGGATCCTACAATAATTCAATTAAATATACTTAATCAAAATAATGTTTCATATTTCAATTCATTATGAAATAAAAAAAAAAATCGTATCATTGTGGTAAAGATGTATACCACTCCATGTGCAGCCTCATCTCTTAGTAAGAGAGTTAAGAAATCAGAATCCTATAAAAAAAATTAATATTATATACAAAGAAAAAACACAAATACGTTAATATAAAATGAACACAATTAAACTTTATAATTTTGAATAAAGGTTATAATCAATTATCTAAATTCAAATAAGACTTACATCATACTCAAAGACCCATTGACTATACTTGGAAACCAAACGTTCGTCAACGACAACTTTTATCACAGTAAAAGTAGAACCCTGATTGTAAGGGTCATCCGGCTTAATGCGAACCTTAAATAGATATGACCTCCCTTGCAAATCTTCAAGTTCATCGGGGAGTTTAAAGATGGGTTTCTTCTGCCATAAAATCAATATTTATATTACTTTTCATTTTTTAAACCGTAAAATATAAATATAAATATAAATATCAATAAATCAATAAATAATAAATAAGATATAACGGAATATACCTTTTGGGATAATTCACGTTTCAAAACATCGCAAATTTTGCCAATGATATTTTGACAATCCTTATCCCAACAAACGAAGGTTGCACTGACGGAAGCATCCGAGACACCAAATTGAATTTTGTAGCTACAAATCAAAAAAAGTTGTGATTAATGTTGTCATTAATAAGGTTCATATACAAATACATATACATATTTAAAATTGAATATATAGAACATTAACAAACCGAAATGTGCCACGATTGTAAGAGCACTTCCGGCACGAATATATCCCGTTGTCATCCTCCATTGAGGAGTTACAACGAAGACATGCAAGGTACCACCATTAGTCTATGATGGAATTGATCCTTGCGCAAACCCAAGTGTCCATTACCTACAAAGAAAATATGCATACATAACCATTAATATGAATTCGATTAGAATATATATAGTATATCATTGAATTTATCGAAAATGTTATTAATAAATCATAAATAAATTATAAATTATAATAATAATTAATATTATAATTATTAGTTTTACAATTAGAATACGAATTAGAGTTACAATTTATTTTACCTCAATATACTCGAATAGAGAATCAACAGAACTAACAAGAATGTCACCATCATCAAGTCCTTGTAGTTCGGTCTTCACAATTATTGAGCTACTTGACACCAATTTGGTATCCTTAAATTTAGTCAGCGCCAACCTATGTTGTAGAATAACATAAACAATGCTAAGATATAATATGATGGCACACAGTTACCGATGTAAATGCTTTGGAGCATCAATAACATGTACCTCCTCCGAAAGTCTTCAATTTCGGGTACATCCACACCAATGATCAATGTCACGTCCTTCGACGTGCTTATTTGAACATTACCTATTACACAAAATATTGTCATAAATAATTAGTATTAATCAGAAATTCATTTCATAATGAAAAAATCGTTAAATTAACATAATTAATTACCTCTCCACTCTCTTGCGCGACACATTTGCAATATGATGACAAAAGGTGTTTTTTCGTTTTCATAATGATGCTCCAAAGCAATCAGCTGATCAACATATCGACCCCAGACAGTGCATTCCTTGACATTACCCCTACAAAATGTGGATACGTGTTTTTAAATAAACCGAAATGTGCTACGAATATTTTATTTGTTCACACGTAATATTAAAATGCGTTTTGAAAAAAATTAAAATACATTAAATACTTATGTCATATAAAATGTTTTAATATAAGGCTACAAAATATTACCCCAAATCCATAATAGAGACTCCCTTCACAATCTTCATTTGGATTGGTTGTATTGAAACAACCAATCCAATGACATCTACAAAAAAATAAAAGAATGCATCATATTAAAATGTTGAATATATATATATATATATATATATATATATATATATATATATTTATATATGTAACGTACCAAACAACATAGCTTCCTCAATGTTACGAACATCCATCAAAGTCAGAAAGTTTCTAAAGTCAAAACGAAAAAATGGAAAATCCTCCTTCCATTTCAAAATCTTGGTTTGGCCATGGATGATGATCCTCCATTTTCCTATGGTCGATTTGTAGATGCCAATATTATTTTCAACTTGATAATTTGTCAAAATATAAAAACCACCTTCTTCAATATTGTCTTTGAATTTTTGGATGTTGACAGGTCGAATAATGCCAGTAATTCGTACACCCTAAAACAAATACAAATTGAATAATTAAATATATGAGATATAAAATATAAAATATGTCACGTTGAATGATGCAATCCGAATTATTTCTGAAATAAAATTTCATCTTAAAGGTAAAATTAAATGTAGTTGTAAATAATAATAAAAGAATATATTACCTCAACATCATGAAAGACAATCTCAAGAACATTTCGATAATTGCGTACATCTTCGACTCGTTGGAACATCCTAATAATGCGTAGCTTCATGGGTGGCTTTTTGGATCTGTCGATATCCTTGATGACTCCAAAATCCAAAGGCATTGTGAATGTTGTTGTAAAAGCTTGTCGAAAAAATTGATTTGTGGGATGTGAATGATGTCGAGCCTCTGTTGAAAAGTTTGTGATGTTTATATAAGAGTATATATGAAACAATCGTGAAATATCCGTTAATAAAATCCCATAGGATCCGATCGGATTTTCTTACAATAATAATATGATGAGTTGGTTCAAAAAATGAAGACTCTATACATGGCATTTCAATGCAATTGGCATCTATTGATTCCGGCTTAAATGTTCCAAAATAGTTCTCATAGATTCCGTTAATTACGCCTACAATTGATTCCGGCTTTATTGTGAAAGAAAATCGCAACAAATTCACATAGAATCCGCTGATTTTTATGATTACATTTGGATACCCATTGAATTGGCTCATAATCCTGTTTTTTTGGTAAGTAAAATCGCAATACGCCTACAATTGAAAAGCAATTGAATTCGCATAGAATCCGGTTACATTGTGAAAGAAAATCGCAATAAATTCACATAGAATCCGCTGACATTTAAGCTTATATTTGGATACCTATTGAATTGGATCATTATCCTGTTTTTTTGGTAAGTAAAATAGCAAAAAAATTGGAACAATATCGGCATTATTGATAGACAATCGCAACATTTTTTTTAACAAAATCAGCATCTTTTGTAAGTTGATAAAAATCACTACATTTTATTAACAAAATCCACATTTATAGTCATTATAAACCGTTTTGTAGGTGATAAAGACTAATGACTTAAATTAGCAAGTCAAAGCATTATTTTTTAAAGTCAACCTTACTATTTTTGTATTTTTCCATCAACCTCTTTATATTACTATAGATACTATAGATAAATTTTTTTTAATCAAATATACATTTCATTAATCATATGGTTCAAACTTTAAATTTTAACTTGGATTTATCCGTAATAATTAGAAAAACAAAATTGAATTGATATGAAAACAACGTTATTTCCACACTTTCTTTATTGACATCTTATAACTTTAGAACTCTTTATCATGAATTTTAAAAAAACAAGTTTATATCAACAAATTTTTATTTCACACATTTTATAAAATATAATTTTGATACAACCTCAATCAAAAAACAACAGCATGCTGATTTGATTTAAATAATTATTACTATAATTTGAAAATAATTTTTGTTCACATGTTTCTTAAAAATAATTTTGGTATAACATCAGTCAAATGTGCCGTATTTTGATTTGATTAATATAATTATCGTTATGATATAAAACTGGATCTTTGCAAATGTAGGACATGTTTTTTTTTTAAACTGATCTAGAAAACATATTGTGTAAAATATGAAATGTAGTCGATTACGCATTAAAAAAAGTATATTGATTTGAAAATTGAATAAATTTTCAAAATTTGAACCGATTTTCCATAAGTAGTAAGTCAAAAAGTTTTACCCGAAAAAACCAACTTTCCACAAATGATTATTCTATCAACCTATTTCAAGTTTCAATATATTGATGTTGGGTTAGACATGGCCAAATGTCGGGCCTGGCCCGACTCCAGCCCGGCCCGACGGGTCTTCGGGCTAGAAATCAACAACCCTGAACATGCTTTTACCTAAGCCCGGGCCAGGTACACGACCCCGATCAAAGACCCGACCTAAAAAATAAATGAAAACAAATCTACTGTTGATTTCTTGGGCCAACTTGGATCCGACATGGCCTGCCGAGTCATATACCCAGACCCCTGGTGAACGAGACTGATCGGGTTGGGTCTGGTCGGGTCGGCCCGTGGTCATCTCCAGCTGAGCAATCACACGTGGGAGACCCTGCCCCGTTCACGCATCTATATATCTATATAATAAAAATAACTATTTACTAAAAATAGTAGTAAAAAATTTTGGAAGCATTTAATGCTTACTTTTTTTTTGAAAACTTTTTAAATATATCATTAATTGCTTCCATATACACATTTTGTCATTTTCAAATAAGATCAAATGAGATATGATCAAAAATATTATTTCCTTAAATAATTTTATTAATATCTGCAATAATTTCATTGATATCCATTATAATAAATTACAAGATTGATTTTTCGTGATTCATATTGATAATATTTTAGTCACGATAAATATTACAACATATTTTATGTTCTAACCAAAATATAATTTTTTTTTTTCATAAATATTCACTTTTTATCTAAAAATATTTATAGAAAATCTTAACAGGTTAGGTATAATTTTTTTTCTTCCAATTAATTAGGCGAAATCAAGCTGATGAATTAATTTTTGTCAATATAATTTTTTTCTTAAGCTTTATTTTGTTACATATAAAATCTAATTTATTCTTCAAATTAATATAATTTACCATTTAAGAGATAATAACCTGATACATTAAATAGTTTTACTAATGGTCAAAAATTAAAATTGAAATATATTAACTGTTTTATAATTTATTTGTATATCATTGGCAACCATGATTATTTTTTTATCATTTTTTTTTTTATTTTGATGTCTTTCTATAATAAAATCCTTGTAAAATATATTTTCATTGCAGAGTATGCTAAATAAACTATAAATCCTTATAATGCAAACTAGAAAAATCTTGATTATAGAAGGAATTAAGTTTTTGGCATTTGCTAAATCAAAGTTGTTTAATTAGTATACAAAATTGAATTCTAAAAAAACGTGTGTTTATATTTGGTAAAATATTTATACACTATTTAATTTTAAATTTATTTACATATTTTAAATTGATTACATGAGTAAATAATACTAACGTGCATTAAATATTTTTCATCACATAAAATAAAAATAAAAAGAAGACGTACAACTTCTATAACTTTTGTAAAAAATAATGACACTAGTACGACACCCGTGTACTACACGTGTTGTTTGAAAAAAAAAAATATAAAACATAAAATAATAGAAAAAAACACATGCTGTTGTATAACTATTTCAACTCATTAAAATATATTAGTGTCTTTATATAGATATTTCAAAAATATTTAAATAATTTATATAAATAAAATAATATATAAAACTAAATTTTTTATTTTGATATTTCGTGAATTACGTCTAAGTTTTTTATAATGGTTGTCTCGCACACTTCGGAAGCTTACTTGGCAACATTACATGCTTCGGCTTTTGGTTCGGATACATTCCCTAATTGTTTAAAATAAAATACTTAATAAATATCATTTTTGCTTAATCCGATCCCCTCCAACTTTAAAATAATTAGTATTCTTATATGCCGTGTAAATCCTCAACTCCAAAATAAATAGGATTCTTATCTTATATTTCTTAATATTATAATTAAAAATTTAGACGTAATTCACGAAATACCAAAATAAAAAATAAATAGGATTTTTTTTGCTTAATATTAAGAGGGGATTATATGAAAACAAAGTGTATAACAAAATAATAATTAAGTATTATGTGGTGAATAATAATAACTAAAACTGTTATTTTCTCTTATTTCAAGAAATAAATATATATACTAAAATCAAATTTATATTAGTATAAATGTGTTAGTGAGATAAGATATTAATTATTTTACAAGCTAGCCCTAGCATGCTTATATTTAATGTTCTGGCTACAAAACAACCATGATTAAAAGAGGTGAAAAATAAATCATAACCCTATTATTTTTTATACTTAACGCTGATTAAAAGAGGTGGAAAATATATGATAACCCTATTGTTTTTTAGACTTAAACGAACAAATATATTTTAAGTTCTACCCATAATATTATTTTTTTTCACAGATATTCACTTTTTATCAAAAACTATTTATAAAAAGTCGTAACAGGTTAGGGAAAATTTTTTCTTCCAATTATTCAGACGAAATCAAGTTGATGAATTAATCTTTGCTAATATATATATATACTTTTTAAGCTTTATTTCGTTATATATAAAAAATAAATTATTCTTCAAATTAAATATTTGTCATTTAAGAGATAAATGACCATATACATTAAATAGTTTTTACTAATGGTCAAAAATTAAATTGAAATATATTAACTATTCTTTAGAAAAATCTTGATTATAGAATGGATTGAGTTTTTGGCATTTTGTAAATCAAAGTTGTTTAATTAGTATACAAAATTAAATTCTAAAAAAACATGTGTGTATATTTTATAAAATAATTATACACTACTTAATTTTGAATTTATTTACATATTTTAAATTGATTACATAAATAAATAATAATAACGTGCATTAAATATTTTTCATTACATAAAATATAAAGAAAAAAAAGACGTACGAATTCTATAACTTTTATAAATAATAATGACATTATATGACAACAAATTTTATAATATAATAATAATTAAGTATTATATGTTGAACAAGAATAAGTAAAATTGTTATTTTCTCTTATATCAAGTAATAACTATATATACTAAAATCAAATTTATATTAGTATAAAGGTGTTAGTGAGATAATATATTAGTTATTTTACAAGCTAGCCCTAATATGTTAATATTAAATATTCTGGCTAAAATAAAAAACATTGATTAAAAGATGTGGAAAATAAATTATAACCTTATTATTTTTTATACTTAACATTGATTAAAAGAGGTAAAAAATAGATGATAAACCTGTCGCTGAGGTGGAAAATAGATTATTACCTTATTGTTTTTTATAGTTAACGTTGATTAAAGAGGTAAAAAATATATAATAACCCTATTGTTATTTAAATTTAAACGACCTTTGAAAATAACTCATTTAATATCTCAGTTCCGTGTATCGCACGAGCTACGTACTAATATGACCGAAAGAACTCGCTCCCCCATCCCCCAACGCCTACGCATCCCTTAAAAAGTCTAAATATTCATTTAATAACCTAAAACTAAAAAGTCTAGAATCCCTATTACACAAATAAATAAATGAATCGTCGCCAAAATATACGATAATTAATATGCAAAAATACAAGTTTTCTTCTCAGTCGTTCAATTTTAAAAATTTTATTAAAATAATTCAACTTCACTTCTCACGTAACGCTAACAACAAATACTTAGGTGCGCCCTGGCACACCTAGCAAGGTGTGCCAGAGACAGTTTAAAATGAACATGTTATGTTACAAAAGCTTAAACAATCTCTGTATAATCAATCTGTCTTTATATTTCAACTTTCAACCACTCCTTTTTCCGTCTCTAATCTCACATTTATTACGTGAGCCGTTAGCGTATCAGTGCTACTACTGTACGCCCTGGCACACCTAGCAAGGTGTGTCAGGACAATTTAAAATAAACATGTTATGTTACAAAATGAATATGTGCAAAATGAACATGATATTTTGTACATATTCATTTTATAAACATGTTTATTTTATACATAACATGTTCATTTTGCACATATTTATTTTGTAACATAACATATTTATTTTAAATTGTCCTGACACACCTTGTTAGGTGTGCTAGGCGTACAATAGTAACACTGATACGCTAACGGCTCACGTAATAAATGTGAGATTAGAGACGGAAAAAGGAGAGGTTGAAAGTTGAAATATAAAGACAGATTGATTATAAGATTGTTTAAGCGTGTAATAATAAAAATAATTGATCTGTGTATTTTCCTGTAAGAAAAGAAAAAGAAAAAAAAAGAGAAAAACACTTGAAACTCGGTAATTACTAATTAGCAAAAATAAAACCAAAAACACACATACATACATCCAACATCCAAGTCTCTAGTGCAAAAAGAAAAAAAAAAAAGAAAACATCCAAGTCTCCAATCCTCCTCATCCTTCATCATCTCCATTTCCTGAAACCTTCTGAATCCTAAATTATTGCAGGGTTTTTCAGATCCTCTGTCTCGCTTTTCATATTCGCATGTACATATGTATTTGTATGTGACTAAAGTGCGGTGAGTGAATTTCGATTATATCCACCCCTTTGCGTCTCAATTGACCTAATTGTACGGGCTCTTCTTTGATTCCCCGAATAATTAGCCTCCAGACAGTGTAGGGGGTGAATAATTTTTTTTTTTCTCTAAGTTGTAATTGTATTTTTATCTGATTCAAATAGATTAGTGCTTGATCAGCCGGCGACAACTTCCCTATGAGTAAGCGCAGGGAGCGAGCCCTCCAAGATCTCTGCGATGCTACTCTCTCGCTCTCACAGCCCCAGGCATGCTATTTCCTTGTCCACCATTTTTACCTACTCTATTAGGGTTCATCTATCTCCTTTTTGTTTGCCTTTTCTCTAACCTTTTTTTTTTTTTTTTTTTTTTCTTTTTTTTTTCTTCTTCTTCTTCTTAATTTCCCACCTCTTTTTCGATGCTCAAATTTGTGCTGTGTTATTAAGTTCAGTCTTAAACGTGATTCATTGTTAAATATAATTGGTGATGAATTTGCAGACTTGTACTAACCGATTCTGGTGCTGATTTACTCGTAAAAAACCAATCATCTGATGATTCCTTGCCTGAATTCTGTAAATTATTGTCAACTATAAGAGCTGAAAAGAGATTTTGATGCTCTCATTTTGAAGTAGCTTTGTTTTACGTTTTGAAAACATTTGATAGTTTTTAATTTCATTTGTTGCACTTTTATTTGCTTCTTAGGTGACTGCAGTATTGAGAGGAAAATTCCAAATTCAAGGGCCAGTTGATGAGTCAAATCATGACTTGCCGACCCATATGGTGAGATTTATATGCGGGTAATAACAGCTGCTTATCTTATTCTCTCATTCCCCTCCATTTTTCTGGCCTTTTATCATACCTGTTGAAATTTATAAAAGCTATGATGATCAGAATGAAGGATATGAAGCATAATGTGAATCATCTCCAGGTGTTGTCAGCTAATTGGTTTGGTTGAAATTGGTATAGTAGGATTCAGTTTTTCGGTTGTTTATTGCAGCCCCAATTCCTTGTATATAAAATGAACTCGCTTTGGTTTCTGAAGTAAAATAAAGAAGTAAAAGAGAAGAAAGCACCTCCCAAATTGAAGGAACGGCTGCTGCATTTCAATAACAATCACCTGCTATCTTTACTTTTTAATTTTATTTCAGGATAGCAATGTATTCTTCCCCCTGCATCTGTTGCCTCTGCACATGTTGATGTCACTTTTCACGGTTTCATCGATGTCATTGAACCTAATTCTGCTTGATGCAGGGAGAAATTTCTGAATTCTATTTGACTTTGTTCATTTTGTTAAAACATGTGTATGTTTTGAACATTTATATCACCAGTGCATGTCAATTACATGAAAACTTTTTACTGTTGTGTCTATGACTAGTCATTGTAAGAGAAGTCAGTATGCAAGTCTTTCGTTATGTTCCTCAATCTCTAATGTTAGTTTTTGCTTCCCTAATCTGGAGTAAATAACAAAAGAAATAGGAAATAGTGAACTGTATATATATTCTTACACTTAGTTTCTGTTGGTTTAACTGCTGCCATTTTTTGCATTAAACCACTTGCATTACTATATGCATTTGATTGGGTAGAAATGATATGGAGAAAATGGACTCTGGTAATATAGATAAAACCTCTAGGCTAATGAAGGTTCCACCATTTAGGAGATGTTCCTGAGCGTGTTACGGTTCTGGTTGTCCTAAAATCATGCTTACTAGGTTGAAGTGGTGAAGACGGGGAAATCAATGGATTTTTAGCTTTAGGAGATTCATTTTAATTCGGTGTTGTCTACCTGATTTCTGCCATCTATCTTTGGCAAAGAGATGACCTCCCTGTTACTGGGTGAGCCAATTATTGATCCATTCATGCTGCTTCTAAGGGATCTTGTTTGCATTCAAATTCCTCTGCGTCCCCACACATTTTATCCTTTTACTTTTTTTGTCTTAAATACTGTTATCAATAGTCACTAGTTGCTCCATTTGATGTATTAGTTTCTTATTTATTTTGTTGATTATTTAGGCAACACCTGAAAATTTCAAGGGGTTAAGTATTTGTTCTGTTAGCGAAGCAGTTGTTTATAGAGGGAAGAAGGGGACGTGTAATGTGTGCTCTGCTCCTTGCTCATCTTGCTTTCATGTTAAAAAGGATCTAATGAAACCCAATGATGAGTCTGCTGGAGAAACCGTTGCGGAGAATATCGAGATTGAGCAGCCAAGTGTGCTGAGCACTGTGGCAGGAATGAATTCAATTTCTGATTCTATCTGCAAAAATGCAGTTGGTAAGACATCCTTGAGAACTTCAAATGGATCTGCATCAGATGATGGTGTGGTGCATTCAAAATCTGATGGCCGGAGAGTTCCAGAAGGCCATGATGATTGTTTGTCAGGTATTAGCGGAACCAACGAACATCCAACTAATAACGTTGCTACGGAGAAAAGTATGATGAAGTATAACAGGCCAGGCAAAGTTAGTGGAGCAAACTCTTCTCAGGTAACCAAACATGGCTTACGTACTAGGAGCTTGTAGCTCTACTGGTGCTCTGACTCTATCACGGTGTTGCACTGGCTGATACAGGGTTCATCCCTGTATCTTGCAGTTGCATAGGAATTTAGATTCCCTTATAACTAAAAAAAAACCTTCCAGATTTGACAAAATTCACAAAATTCAGATACTCCGAGAAGCACTAACATTGCTACTCGTTTCCTGAAGGTTCAGAGTAATTTTTCTCCAGCTTCCAATGGAATATACGTATCACCCAGCCAAAACCCAAGAGATCTGAAAGATGACAAGATTTCTTCTACAAAGAGTGAACTGTTGGATGGCTCAAATGAATCCCGAGATTTGATATCGGCCAGAGGTGTAGCTTTTGATGTTTGTGGAGATCCTCTCGCTACAGCTGTCAGTCCCAATCGAAAGAATGACCATATGGAGGTTGAAACTCAACCTGTTGATGAAATGGAGGAGTCGGACATGATGGAGCAAGATGTAAGACTGTATCCTTCTTGTCTGTTGAAGATTAATCCACCTTTTATATTAGTTTGATAATCTGGTAAATCTTCAAGTTTGTGATATTTAACTCCAACCATATTACCGTGACAAGAAATTTCTACTGTTCTTGGGATCTTTCCTGCAAAGGTCAATATTTCATTGGGAAATAAAATCTCAACGTATATTTTTATGTTATGCTTGGTGGATGTTATTCATTTTGTCATTTAGTGAATATTTCTAGTCTTTATGGAATTGAACAACTTGAACTAACTGCAGTAGCATCTGGTAGATTTCATCATAATTTTTTTGGGGCATTGCCACAGTTGAGCTGAGTTTTCTTCAAATATTTAATTTCTAAGAAGTAAAGATGAGGTTGGATGTTCCTCCACATTCCAAATAATTTTGTAGCTCATATGTGAAGCTTTGCGTAATAAATGACTCTAGATGTGGCAACAATCTCTATAGCTGCCTGTTAATATGGGTATTCATAGCTGCTATGACATAGTGTTGCAGCTAGAATGGTATATGATATGTGTGCTCGGGTGTGATTTCTTATAAAGTGGTTATACATTTTAAAGACTGATTGAATATTTGATGATTAAGGGTGTCATTGAATTACTCATTGGTGATTTCATGAATCATAATTATGGTCGTTGTTCATTATTATTATTATTATTATTATTATTATTATTATTGAATCAAAAACTGATTGAGATTCATTGTCGGATAGGTGAAAGTTTGTGATATCTGTGGAGATGCAGGGCGGGAGGATTTGCTTGCAATCTGTTCTCGCTGCAGTGATGGGGCAGAACACACGTAAGGACTTCCACATCCCTATTCATTCATTCAATCACAATTTACACTCTCTCTCATCCACCTCATGTCCACATCATCATTCCACCAAACATCTTTCCATTTAAACATTCACCCACATTCATATCCATTCATTTAAATACATATATATGGGACCCATTACACTCATTTAATATTACTTTTTATTCTTTAAAGACTTAGGTATATTTTTTAATATTAAATTGGCTCTACTGCTACAAAAAAATGGCTTTAACGCCATTCATTGTATTGAATGACAGAGGTGGGTCCTAGACATTTTTCATTTTAATGAACGGCACGCATTGGTTTAAATGCAACTTTACTCGTTTAAATGGCTCTATTGTCTTAGCGATGCGGATGCTCTAAGCATTCAAATGTCTCTAGAGTCTTCCAGCATGAAATTTGCATTTTTCTGCATTCACAATGATGGCAATCTAATCATTTTATCTCAGCTATTGTATGCGAGAAATGCGGACTGAAGTCCCTGAAGGTGAATGGCTGTGTGAAGAGTGCCAGGCTTTAGAGCGTGCGGTCAAGAGAAGGGAAATAAAGATTGAAAGAAAGAATGAAATTGAGAAAAATAACTCTGGTCACACTACCAGTGAACACTTAAATAATTCTGAGGTTGATGGACAGAAAACAAAAGGTTTGACGAGAATTTCTAGTAAAAGGCATAGAGATGATGATGATGATGATGATGCTGAAGTTTCTTCTTTAGTAAAGAAGCCTGCTCTTGAGTCAAAACTTGGATCACCAAGGCCCTTAAATTCTGGCAAAGCTGCTGTGCTTACTCGTGAAAATTGTGTAAAGATCTTAGATAAAGGTAGGGTGCAGCCTCAAGACATAGCCCCAGTTAATGATACCGCAGAATCAGGAAGCTCTGCTTCAGATCCGAGGGTGCATGGTTTTCGAGGTTATGTGACATCTTTCTATTGCTACTTGTGATGTTGTCTAATCTTATCAGACTTCTCCACTAGTTTTTGCATGGTTGTAGTTATGTACTGGGAATATCTTAGTTTCCTTTCCTAAGATTTTCTAACAAAGGTTTGCTAATACGCAGGTACTTTCGCAAAATCTAATTCATTCAGTTCCCTGAATTCAAAACCAAAGGTAAAGCTTGTAGGTCAAGCTGTTATCCAGGGGCAGAAATCAGCTAAGGAAGTCAGCTCTTTTCGTCACAAGGAAGGTGTTGTCAGATCGATGGGAAAATCTATGTCATTTAAATCTACAAACTCTGGCCGTCCTGAATCAAAAGTAAAGATGTTATCTCCGAGACTTTCGCACATCCAGGACATTAAAAATACGAAACAGAGGAATTCATTTGAACGTCAGCGTGCCTTCAGAACAGAACGTTCATCAATCAGTTCTACATCAAGAATTGATAAAAGAACGCCTTCACTTGCTACCATGGCTAATAACCATGAAACGAAGCCTGTACAGGCTGATAGCAAACCATCAACACTATCAAGATCATCCAGTCTTTCTGCTCGAAGGACTGCAGATCTAACCAGTTCTTCAGGTGCAGCATGACCCTGTGTTTTGAGTTTATTTGTGATGCGTCTTCCTTTTTTTTTTTTTTTTTTTCNTTTTTTTTTTTTTTTTTCTGTGTTTTTCAATGATTTGTCATCTTTTTTCGGTGAACCAGGTGAATTCAAGAGACCATTGGTACACGGGCATTGTACTGTTGGGGGTTCATCTACCAATGGGGTCAGCAGTAATGAAAACAAAGTAAATCAGGCGAACCTGAAGTCGGATTCAATTTCTGCCGAAAGGTCTGCACTTAATATGGATGTGGGTATACCTGTTGGATTGCCTCGGCTTAGGGATTTAACAAATTCTTGTGAGAGAATGAAGGATTGTTCTGGAAGCCGCTCTGGCCCACCATCTGCAATGCCTGCAAGAGATGAAGGTGATAAACTTAAAGCTGCCATTGAGGCTGCTGTGCTGAGGAAACCAGGCGTGTACCGGAAAAATAGAGCTGTCGGTCAATCTGATGACTCATCCATGCCAAGTTTGGGTGTTGAAGTGACCTGTCATCAAGATCCTATATCAAGTTCTGCTGCAAATAGAAAATTATCTTCTGCTGGGGAGCTGCCTGAGGGACCTACGATTGCAAGGAATTTAATTGCTGACTCTCATAAACAGGAAAATTCTGATTCTGTGAAACAGTCTTCACTGGTCCCTGTAGAGGGTCTTCCTACTGCAGGACAAGATGGTGTCCATAGTAGCTCTTCCAGACGGGATGTACTCAGTAGTATTCTACTAGGAATGCCTCTCTCTTTGAAATCCTTAGCAGTTCCCGAACATGAATATATATGGCAGTATGCATTCATCACTATTATTTCTTTTGAGTTGTAGCGTGTGTACCGGTTTTGGCAGTGTGTTGTGTTTTGTGATCCTGAAATAAGTTTCTTATGTATGCATTTTATATGCAGAGGAAGTTTTGTGATTTCTCGAAGTGGTAAAACTATGGACTCATGGGATGGAATCCAAGCCCATCTATCAACATGTGCATCACCCAAAGTTACTGAGGCTGCAAACAAGTTTAATAGCAGAATTTCACTCAATGAAGTGCCTCGCTCAAGCACCTGGCCAATACATTTTCAGGAACATGGTGTTAGAGAAGATAATATAGCTCTATTCTTTTTCGCTAAAGATCTTGACAGGTAGTTTTATTACTTTTCAACATTTTATTTTTATTTTTGATTTATGGTGTCAGTTTTCTTCTGTTTTAAGAGTTGTAGTCTTATTGATGCCACAGCTACGACAAGATTTACAAGGTTTTACTGGATAATATGATGAAGAATGATCTTGCTCTGAAAGGAAATGTTGATGGCGTTGAACTGCTGATATTTCCTTCCAGCCAGCTCCCTGATAATTCCCAGCGTAAGAAAGCATTTTCAGTTTTATATGTTCAAAGTGGACCTTCTTTCCCCTTTTAGGCAAGTTTGTTTTCTCTTAATTTTTTCTTGTAGACAACATCTCTTCTGATGGAAAATGAAATTTGAACTTTGCATTATGGAGCTTGATCTCTTTGCAGTTCTTAGTCTGAGGTTTTACCTGGCTTTAGCACTTTTAATGTGATATCAGTTTGATTTTATTTCTACTAAAAAAGAATATAATGTCCAATGTCCATGCCAGACATAAACCAGACAGAGTTAGTGTGAGCTTGCACATTATGTAGCACAGTGTACATGGTATTCCACAAATTTATTCTTTCTCCAATGTTGGCAGCTCGTTTGTTTGATGCTTTTATGCCGCTGGAATTATTAGCTTTTAGCTGATGCTTTTGGTGTTGTCTCCTCTCAAGCAACAATAATGAATTTGGCATGTTTGTGCAGGGTGGAATATGTTATACTTCCTGTGGGGTGTATTCAGAGGGAAGAAGGAAAGTTGCCTGCGACAGATGCCTAAATCACCGAACCAATTTTCTGCCCCTCGAAATATTCCCACCCCTATCATGTCCTTGCCTGAGAATAGATGCTCACTCAGACCTATTGCAGAGAATCAGAATGGGAGTAAAGAGGCAGTGACTCAAGTACTTGAAATGCCTGCTTCAGAAAAATTGCAGAGATTATTGTCGTCTAGTAATAGAGACTCTGATGCCAATTTTGTTGATCGGTTGGATCACCAACTTAATTCCACTTCGCCACCTGCGATACAAAATGATAATGCAAACCGATGCCAAGATATGACGAGAACTTCCCAGGTAGTACTGTCCTTCATAAGTTTCTTTCCCTGGTTGTATAAACATGTTTTGGTCAGGTTATTTAAGCTTAAGCTTTTGTTTTGTTTAGATGAGGATTATGTATTGCTTTATTCTTTACATATATGAGTAAAAATTTGTCCTTGTCAGTGAAGCAAAGGAAATCTTTGTGGTTACTGCAGCTGCAATAATAGTTAATTGTTTTGCATCATGCTCATGTTCTGCAGCTACATTAAGTTCAAAGTTTATTTGATGTATTGTAGCAAAAACTACATTTCTTATCTGTTGATTTATTTTTGTTATCTACTATTATTGTTACTGGTCTTATAGTTATTCACTTATACATTTGCCATCCCTTGCTTTTGTTAACTATAGTTATAGGCCCAGCCCATATATACTTAAGGCCCTAAGTCTATATATATGGGCATCTACAGATGTGTATCAATTATTCGTCCAAAACCCTAAGGTTCGTAACATGGTATCAGAGCTTTACAAATAAATCATTTTTTTTTTTCTGTTGCCAAGTTTTTTCGTGCTATACTATTGTCGAGGCTTGGCTATCATTATGATTTTTCATCAGCTATTGGTGGTNTGCTATGTTTTTTGTAAGCTAGGCTACTTTGGCATGTAATCCATATATTTAGTGTTAGGTTCTGTGCCTTTTCGCGGACAAGAATTGAAGGGAGTGTTTGTTTATTCATAAGAATATGCATGTGTATGTTTTCCTCTGATTCTGAACAGCTTTGCGAGAGTAGAGTACGCCCTTGTTGTTTCCAAGTATATGCTCATCACTGACTTAGTTCTGTCGATCGTGCCATTTCACCCATTCTTTTCTTTTCTTTCCTTTTTCTTTTTCTGGACAATTCTCTACGTCCTTTTATTGACCCGAGAGAGTAACTTAGTCTATCAGATATCAGAAGGGTAGCAGCAAAATTCTGAATGGATATGGCCCAAAATGGGCTTAAATGCAAAGCTTTTCACGACATAGTCGTTTTTTCTTTCATTTTCTAAAGAATTGTTGCATCTGTTGCCTTGCCCTAGTTAGATGCATGCCCACTGTCACTGATGGTGCTGCAAAATTCAATATTATGTGCTTTGTTGTGCTTTTATCCGCTATCTCTGAGGGAGTTTTACTTCTTTCAAGCTTGATTGTTATGATGCTGCTGTGCTGAGAGCTTATATATATAATTGTTGCATTAGTTTCGCGTTCTGAGAACACACAATAATTTATGCCTGTAGGAAAGAGACACAAGTTCCAGCTGTAGTCCTCTTCACCATGCTACAGAAAATGGTTGTTCTCCTCAAAAGCAGCTAGAGCAATTGGACACTCCAGTTGATAGTCATCAGCTCACTAAATCTGTGGCTGGTCCACCAGAGGAATTCATAAATGAAGCTTGTACAAAGGATAAGATAGATGAATTGAGATTACCAGCAAGACTGGCCGAATCCGAAACTGTTTTGAAGGATCACGAGAGATGGATGTTTAACAACAACCAATATATGCTACCAGGGCCATCGTCATCACCTGTGGTGCCTCCAACCCTTTTTGGCGGGGCTACTCGAGTGCTGCCAGGCAATGATGCTGGTAATGATATATGTCAAAAAGTAAGTGAGGAAATATTTTTATTTATCTGAGTTTTGGTTACAAAAAGTAAAGATATCCCTGAGATTTTATTGTCTCACATTTGGCCCCTTAATAAATATAAAATATTATTATTATAAACCCCTGTTCTTAAACTTATAATAAAAGTAAATTTAGGGCGCGCTTCTTGTTCAAATAATGTGTTCAAAATGAGTTATTTTTGTTAACCATAGTTAATTTTGGAAAAGGTGGTATGGTTAGTTGGTAGTGGAATTTTAAGAATGTATTAAAATAATATTTAAAATAAAATGATTAAAATTGTTTGATGTCGAAGTAGGAGATAAATGATTGTAACTGATTTGGAAATTGGAAATGATAGGTAGTTAAAATTATGTGAGTGGATGAACAGTGAATTAAAGTTGATGTGATGTGTAAGAATGATTGGTTTGTATTATTTAATTATATGAATAATATTAAAGATAGTGGGGTTGAGTTAAAGTTGAGTTAGATTTTGAGTATGAAATAAATGTGAGTAAATTAACTTGTAAACAATCAAGCCCTTAGCCTCTTAATTTATTACTGAATCAAACCTGAGGAGTTTTTCATAATTTTGAAAGTTCACTGTTTCTGTTTCCTGGTTAATAAAATCTCATCAGAGCCTTCACTTTTTTTTTTATTTGTTATAGACGAATAATCACCACAATTTCATTCTCGACCAAACTGCTGCTGCTGCTGCTGCTGAGAGACGCTTCTTTCCGACTGCCGAATCACAATTGCCGTGGAAACTGCACAATCACCATCATCATGTGGTGGAACAAGAAGATAGTCTTAGTGATAGATTAGCACCACCTGATCTCGAGCTTGCTTTAGGGGCTTCTGATAGAAAATCACCACCACCTGCCGCCAATATTCAGTCATACGATTTAGTGAGAATGGGAAGTAAAGCAGTAGTAAACGATAACAAAGTAAATGAGGATGATGTGGCAGGTGGGACAGAGGTAGAGGATGACGTGGCGGGTGGGACAGAGGTAGAGGATGACGTGGCGGCAGCACTTTCCCTCTCTCTCTCTTTCCCGTTCCCCGAAAAGGAAATGACCCCAAAATCAAAGACAGAGAGAACGTGTCAACAAGACTTGAATGCTTCTCTTTGGAAATTTGGGAGATGATTAGTTTGGTCACAGTTGTTGAAGCTAGTGAGTAGCTCCTTTTTCATTATACTAGGTAGGATCTTTGTGTTATGATATGATGATATATTCTGCTTGGAACTGAATCATACATATGTGATACCACCCATCAACCGTCAGGATTGATCTGATCTCTATAATTTTTCTAGGTTGGTTTACTTTTTCTGTTTGTCCTAAACGGCTTGATGTATATATGCAAAGAGTATAGTAGCCGGGACTCTGTGTGATATGAATAATTTTTTTGTTAGCCGTATCTGCCTTGTTTCTTTACTCGTATTCTTTTTCTTTTTTTGGATTTTTATGGTATTGCTTCGGCCCTCAGGGTTTTGTTTGTGGTTCAGGTGCCTTGCATGTGTGGGCATTTTTTCTTCTTTGTGTTTAATCAAATTTTACAATGGATGACTCCATAAGAAAATCATCCGATGACTCCTTAGAATTTTTGTTTAATCGAAATATGACTAGTAAATGAACGTGCAAAATCAGTTATGATCAGTTAACACACTTTTCTGTCTCTATTTCATTATTCTGATTACTCGTTGGGAACACAATGAAGATCAAAGCTATGTTCGCTATATTTTTCCACATTATTGTCGACAAATATTGGAATAGTGAAAACAAAAGAGAACCAAAATAATTCAAGAGTTTTCATTAGTTTAGCTTTAGTAATACTCATTTTGAGCTGGTAAAGCTATGAAATGATTTTCTTATGGGTTTCAAAAATAATTGAATGTGTAAAACTAATGATGTCTATAAATTAGTTTAGAAATTTAAAATAATATTTTTAATTTACTTAGTTCTTTATTATAAACTAGTGTGTAGCCCGTGCTATGCACGGGTAAATAATACTAATAATCCCAACCTTCAGCCAGTAAGTTTCCCTCCTTCGGGTCTGGGAGTTTAGTTAGAGCATGATAGTATTGGGGTGTCGTATCCCGTCGAGTCCTAATATAGGCCTATGGCCTCTTTCATTGTACCAAAAAAAAAAAAAAAATAATAATAATACTAATAATAATTATAAATTAAAGATTAAGATAAACAATATTAACTATAATTATAAATTAAATATGTGGGGATACATGTGATAAAATTTATGGTATACAGTCTATTGTAACAGTATAAAATTATCTTGTATAAAGAACATAAAATAATTTATATCTAAAATATTAAAATTGAGAGAAGATTTACATATTATATAGAAAATAAATATTGAGATGATACGAAAATTATTTCGTCATCAATTTGAGTATAAAATAAACGGAGGCTTAATAACTCCATGCTTTATGCATATGCTTCATTTATCAATTTTATATAATAATTTTAAAATCTCATTATTAAAATTTTTATTCAAATGTATAAAATAAATGGAGGCTTAATAATTCCACGCTGCATATACTTCATTTATCAATTTTATGTAATGATTTTAAAATTTCGTTGTTATTAAGATTTTTATTCAAACACGTATCAACAAAGTACACATCTTTAAGATTTATGATGAAATACGAATAAATGATTTCTTTATAAAAGAAATACGTATTTATTTGTTCTTAAAAATCAATGCAAACCCATAGAGAGTTTTTGTTCTTAACAAACTCCTACAATTCTAATTAAATCATATTATTTCAATTTGAATATCATGATGGTTTTAAAATCTGTATATGTGGTCATAATCTATATCAAGTAAACAATCCCCATAATTTTAGAAATCAGTATTTATCTGTTTTTAAAAATAAATTTAAATTGCTTGATAGTTTTTTTCCCAAAAATCTCCTACACTTCTAATTAAATTATATTACTCAATTCAATTTGAGTACGAATTTAAAGTTTCAATTTGAAAATGAATTTAAAAATCTGTACACGTGTTGATAGTCTTTCAAGTAAACATAGTCCCAACTTTTTTTTTTCTTTTTTTCTTTTCCGCATTAAGTTTTTGATTCCAACAAATGATGTGGTGAAGATATATTAAGTGAGTACCTGTGATGTATGGAGTAATATCCAATGTTGTAGCATACTCTTTTTTAAATTGTATAAATATAATTGTGATTTTTTTCTTTGCATGGACGGTATTTATAATTAGTGCAAGTTAATTAAATGAAGTTAATTTTTTAATAAAATTCACTTAAGTTTTTTTTTTACTAAAATGAATGATGCAACAGGTTCTCCGTGTAGTGGCTATGGTGGCTGGCCGTCGGTTGGCTTCTTCACTGCCCATCTCTGGTGGGAGCTCGTCCGTCGCGCAACAGGTTAGTGGTGGAGTGGCTTCAAGGAGGTGAGTTTTTGGGTTGGGGTGGGTTAGTTGGTTCGTCCCTCTGTGTCCTCTTTGCTGGTCTGGTGGAGGTGGATGTTCGACAGGCCCGGATTCTGGCCATTGGTGTTTGGTCGGGTCGAGGGGAGCGGGTCTGTGTGGTGGGGCTGATCGATCCTCATTGGGTTGTAGGTAGGCTTCATCCGTGGAATGGTTCGAGGCTTGGACTCTTCCTTTGCTAGGCATTAGGCAGTGGCGGGAGTGGTGTTCCGGCTTTCGTGTCAAGCTATCGGGTGATTGGTCTGGTTTTCGCTGGTGCTTTGTGTTGGGTTTGGCTATCTAGCTGGGGAAGGGCTTTGTGTGCATATGTTTATTATTTTCGTTTATTGTTGTTTAGGTTTGTGTTTTTGGTTTGGGCCGCTTGGTCTCTGTGCGCCCGAGTGTCAAATTTATTATCCTTGTGGGATCCGACACTCGGGTATTACTCTGTTGGGGTCTTTTCAGTTGTGATTGTTGTTTTGTTGGTTTAGTTGGTCGAGTTGTTGGTCATTGTAGTTGCGAGTTTCTTTCTAGTGTTGCTAGCGGGATTGTAGGCGGTCTTCTGACCTGTCCTCCCATTTTATTCTCCCGTTGGGAGCTTTGTATCTTGTTTCGCACATTTGTGCGCTTTTGATTTATAATAGTTCCTCTGTCGTTTTGGAANTTTTTTTTACTAAAAAGAATGATGCAAACTCGTACCATTTTAAATTCTCCACAATTTGAATGACTCCTTAACTTTTGAATACTGCTAAATTTCATGTTTATCATTATTTAAGCGGGAAATTTTGCAGGAAAGTTATTAGGAAATTTTTAACATTTGAATTTGAATTAAAGATTTGCATGAAAATTATTAGGAAATTGTTAACAATTGAATTTGAATTAAAGATTTTTTTATTTATTTTTTTTCTGTTTTTCCTATAAGTTTGTTAAAGCAACCATATTTTATTTAAACTTCTATCCCTTCCTTATTTAGAAATTTTGAAATTTGTTTTGCTTGCTATATTTAGTAAATAGTAATTCTTTTTATATAAGTATAGGTTGTTATATATTGTTTTTTATTTATTTTTACAACTTCAATAAAATATACAAACATTTTTTTCTTTCATTTTTTTTTTTATTTTACATTAATATTTTATCAAATACCTGTGTAGTACATGGGCATCATGTTATTTGTGTAAACTAAAGATAAATTCCAAACTAATTCACATAGTCTTCCTTAGTTTAGCTTAGTAATGTTCATTTTCAGCAGGTAAAGTTACGAAATGAAGTTTTTTCTAATGAATCTTGAAAGTATGAATAGCTCACAATCAGTTGTTCTATTGGTTTTTAGTAGTGAATACATAATAAGCATATGAAACCATTGTTAGAAAAATGTGTGTCGAAATACACGGGAATCCTACAAACTGAAATATATTTTTTCAGTTCTTACAAATGATCTAAAAATAAAAAATTACAATAGAACTGAAAATAAAGTACAACTTGAAAAAACGGAAAGATTTTAGCCGAGACGAGTAAACTCTTTTCGCAAGACGAAAACGCCTCGTGTAGTGCTAACGGTTCAGGCGTAACGTCCCCAAAGATACAACGGCTATCGTCTCGAAATCTGTAGCACACCAGATTACGAGCTCCGGTGAACTGGAACAGAGTCGAGAATTGAGCACTTAAAATAGGAATAAAATTATCTCTCTTTTGCTATATTTATAACAGATAATTTTTATATCCGCCTTTCTCTATATTTTTCTCACAACAATTCTTTCTATATCTCTCGTACTTTTCTCTTCTTTCCAATTTTTCTTTCATTCTTCTTTCTTTGTGTGTCCTTTCTCAAATGCACTGAGTACATACTTATAGATACAAAGTTGCAAGTGGCTTGTGCAAGTTGGCCAATTGAATAACCTCTTCACGCGTCTGATTCCATACAAATTGCCAAGTTGGGATGCCTTCACATGATTACAGCTCCCACTCTCAATTATTAGTGTCATTATAAGTTGCATGAATTATTTATACAATATAATTAAAAGGTGGGGCACAATTTACACTCAATTACAACAATCCCCCACATGAGTGTAAATTAAATATATATATATATATATATATATATATATATATATATATTCAATCTTCACAAAACTCTATTGCATCAAAAAATGTAGCTTAAGGCTTTAAACCTCTCTTAGTAAACATCATCGGATGTACTGACGACTTAGTGGACATATTGTCTTGAACTATTTCTCCATAGTGTACACCAGGACAATGACATTCACACAATATAGTCTTAATACCATTTCGTTCTACTGTTGTGTTCGTTTTGGGCATAGACAACACTTTGGATTCATAAGTGTTTAGATTTGAAGCAGCCCTCACTTCACACTTATATGGTGACCTCCCTATTAAGAGTATCCTGCATTACTCCACATTTACAAGGTTAGGGATTCATTAAAAGTCCAGATGACTTACCCTTACCACAATCAACATGTCATCCTGCACTTGGAGTGCTCTAGGGAATCGCTTTGGACATTCTTATGTTCCAAGTGCTCAGTTGAATTTTCATAGCTTAGTTTTCTCCTTGAACCAAGTTCATAGGATCTCCTTTCAGCAAGGTAGGGTTACCACTATGATCATTCTTTTCAAGGTGGATTTTTAAGCCCATTCCCTCTAGCAATACTCCCAATTGATCTCTATTCAATCCTTTAGTCAAAGG